CCCTGTTGCAGGAAAGGAGTCTTTGGACAGTGGCGAGTTATCTAGGGTACCCACTTTTCCTTCACATTTTCAAATGAGGATGGAGAGATCATGAAATAGCAGACTTACATTACAAGTAAATACATTACAAACAAATAGATGTTTGTGGACAAGTCAGTGGTCGTAATCTGTCATATCAAAAGTGTGAGAGTACATGATCTCCACCAATCCTAACTGTGGCTTCAGTGTTGTCAAAAGCAGTTGGTATATATTCAGATGGAAATTTGTTGTGTAAGGTATCAGGAGACATGTTTTACCAACAGCGTCATCACCCACAACAACACGACTGTGTATTGCTGAAACAGTTTCAAATCCACTTTAAATATTTCTGGTTTTATGCTGACTTCAATCAACTTCTCCACCAGAGTGGTGGCAACACGTGAGCCCATTGTTCCAGTCAGTGTCAGTCCATCTCATTGAGGGTCTTCTTTTTCCCTGACTCTCCATCTTTCCAAAGACTGTTCTCCTAGCAACATGCCCAAAGTATGTGACATTAAGTTTTACTAACCTTGCTTCTAAGGAGCACTCTGGTTACACTTTCTCCAGGACCTATTTGTTCTTTTGGCAGCCCACAGGGTATTCCAAACACTTCTGTAACACCACAACTCAAAGGTGTTGAGCTCTATCATCACTTTTAGCAAGCATTAAAAAAGACCATGAATTGGATCAAGTGCACCTTATTTATTCTTTAACATATATTGTTGTTTCTATGTACCATTGCATCGGAACAAACTCATAGTAGGCCCTCTAGTGGGTTTTCAGAGATAGTAAATCACATGAGAAGTGATTGGCCATTTTTCTCCTGTAGAGCAACTGATGGATTCAGACCATGTGCCTTTGGGTTGGCAGAGCAGCTCCTTACAACCAGTCAACCATAACTTCTTTTAAAATTTATAGGGCTGGTCAAATTGTTTTCCAATGCAGTTGCATAATTTTTTATTAGCGGTGTAGGAAGGTTCTGATTTCTCCATCTTCTTGTTAACATTTGTCATTATGTCTCTGTTAATTATATGTATCTCAATATGTATATTTTTATTATAACTATCTAAATATGTGTAAAGTCACAATCACATTGTGGTTTTGGTCAGCAGAAGTTGACCAGTGCTGAGATGGAACTCAAATTATCTTTGAGAGAGACAGGTGTCAGATCTTATTATGTCTTCTTGTATATATGTATTTTTATTTTTTCCCCATTCTCTTTCTGGTAGGACTCTTGGTTGGCCAGAAGGCTCCCTTGAGCTCTCTTACCAAGATCATGTTCAACTTTCTTCTGCTGGGCAGCTGGTGGATTAAACTTTTGTCCAAGCCTTATGCTAGAACTACATTATTTTAATCCTTGCTTGCTAACAATGCCAGTTGAGAGACTAAGGTGTGCCTCTTCCAGGCCATGGCCTTTCCAATTACTTGCTGTGCATCAGAGAGCTGGACAATTGCCAATGGTGACAGGTTGACAGAAGAAGAATTGATGCTTTTGAATTATGGTGCTGGAGACTGAATTGTGATGTGGTTCATAGTATTGAACATACTATGGTCTAACAAGAGAACTAATATGTCTGTCCTAGAGAGAGTGAAACCAAGTTGCTCCTTGGAGGCAAGGATTTTGAGGCTCTGTGTTACATACTGTGGGTATGTTGCCAGGAGGGACCAGTCCTTGGAAAAGGAAGTCATGCTTGGAAAGGTGGACGGACAATGCAGGAAAGGAAGACCCCAGATGAGATGGATTGACATAATATTTAGGATATTGAGGGTAGATTTATCAGAGATAGGGAGATTGGCTCAGGATAGACAGGGTTCAGAACCATTGTTCGTAGGGTTGCTATGAGTCATAGTTGACTCGACAGATAACAACAGTGATGTTGAAGGGAGCTGTGGTGATGTAGTCCAGAGCAAGTTGCATGGCTAACCCAAAGACTTCATGTGTCTGGTGGTTTGAATTGACCAGCAGCTCCATAGGAGAACAATGTACAGTGTATATGAGTTTGATATTGGCCATCTTTCATGTGATTTTTGACCATTTGTGTAGCTTCTTGATCATTTGTGTACCTTCTTTAGGGAAATGTCTATTCAAGACCATTTCTAGTTTTTAAAACTCTTTATTGTGCTTTTATATCAAATAAATTTTTCATTATCCTTTGTTTTTTGCTTTGTACTTCCTTGTGGTTTTACTTTGCTTACCTTCCTTATGATTCTAAATAAATACTCAGAGAAGCATGGCTTGAGACCTTCAGTCATGGGAACTGTTGGCCCCCTGTTTTTCACACTCTCTGTTCTATATCATTCCTGGTAGTCTGTCTCATTATTAATAATTATAAAATTATTTCATTCTTTAGGACCCTTGGTCTGCAACAGTTATTGTGTACCATAGCACAGGAACGAACTCATAGCTGATCTACCAGTGGGCTTTCAGAGACAGTAAATCACAAGGGAGGAGACTACCAGATCTTTTTTCCTTGGAGTAGCTGGTGGATTCGAACTGCATACCTTTAGGTTGGCCGCACAGATTTTTGCTACTAAGCCATTAACTGTCTTCCACAAACATATACCAGATATTTAACATCAAGGTTCTTGCTACCAGGCAGCTTATACTTGAGTGGCAGAGCCAGACCTATAGATAATGGGTTTATTTTTTATTATTTTTATTCATTCATTGTTGCACATTTACCGCCTTAACCCCCAGTTCACTTTTTAAAAAAGTATTTATTATTATTGCATAATCTCCTTCCCCCCACCCCCAGTTCACTTTGCTATGTACTTCTTATTCTGTATTGTTGTCATACGAATTATGCCTAATCATATATTCCTTTTAAACAGTTTTCCTTCATCTATTCCAATGCAGTGTTCATTATTTATCCTTTTTCTTAGTTTTCTCCGAAACACATATCAGTTCTGTTTTATAACAGTGATGTTATGCAGTATTTATTCTTGTGTGACTGAGATATTTCACTTAGCATAATGTCCTCCAAGATCACCTGTTTTGTGTAATATTTTTATGAGTTTTTTATTTTTCAGTGCTGCATAGTATCCCATTGTGTGAATATACCATAGTTTTCCCATGGGAATGTGGATTGCATCTTTGCTTTTGTGAATAACACAGCAATAAACATGAGTGTTTATGTATCTGTTTGGGTGGTAGCTCTAGTTTCTTTAGGGTATAGTTGTAGTAGTCGAATTGCCGGGCCAAATGGTATTTCTATTTCCAACTTTCTGAAAAATGCGCCACATCACCTTTCATAGTGGTTGCACCGTTTTACACTCCCACCAGCAGTGAATAAGGGTTCCAATCTCTCCATAACCTCACCAGCATTTGTTATTTGCTGCTTTGAGATGATATCTTATAGTTATTTTAGTCAACATTTCTCTAGCACTTTTCTCATTTGTAAATATAGAGACCTATTCCCATAAAGTCCCCAGGGAGCATCTCTTTTGTGTTCAAGAATAGGTTTGGTCATTTGTCAGAGACTTCAGCTTTATTGCTTTTCTTTTGCTGTGACCCTTTACTACAGAAACCACCATGTCCCATATGCAGTGAATCTCTGTTGGCCACAACTACTGCTGATTCACTGGAGCCTCTGAGGTGCCAAAGCAACCCGGTACGGGAGGGGGAGCTTCTTTCCCTTTTAGTGTTTTGCTTTGTCATGAGTGTGGGGGCAGAGAATGAGGCTAGCTTGTATCCCAATTTTTAATATTGTTTTTAGTAAAATATCTCTTCCAGTTATTACTCTTTCTTCTTTCATTTTCATAGTATTCAGTCTTGAGTCCAGTGGGGAGCTGGTTTGGGAGGCAAATTTAGTGATAAATGGAATACCCTTCCACAAACAAATTTACTGGTTGCTCCACCGCCCTAGACCACCACAGTGGAGACAGGACTGAAATGAAATCAATTTAAGTTCCATTTGAGTCCCTAACGTCTTGATTCCGCCCCCCCCCTCCCCCGAGTATTTCCCTTATTTTAGAAGTTCCTTTTTCTGGAATCCTACCCAAATGTTACCACCTTGGTGAACCCTCCTACGCTTTTCTGCCACCTGTTCTTCCTGTAAGGTATGTAGTTCAAATCCACCAGCTGGTTTATGTTGAGAAAGATGGGCAATATCTTCCCATGTGATTTACTGCCTCTGAAAATCTGCCCGGGGGTCAGTTATAAGTTGATTCTAATTCAATGGTACACAACAACAATTCCTGCAGTAACAGAAATGATAGTTGTTTTTGTTTCTTCCAGAGTCTGTAAATCTCTAAGGCCAGGCAAACATTTTATGCTTCCTTTTGTTGTCTTTCTGTCACTTAGAAAAATTGCTGTTATGTGCCATTGAGTCGCCTTCAACTCATAGCGACCATTCAGTAGCTCTGAATCCTGCCCTATCCTGAGCCAGTGTCACTATCTGTGACACAACTTGCCCCAAGACCCCAGTTACTGTGTTAATCCATTTCATTCTGGGTCTTCCTCTCCTGTGTTGTACCTCCACCCTTCCAAGCATAATATCCTTTTCCAAGGATTGGTCCCTCCTGGCCACGTGGCCAAAGTATGTGAGACAAGCTTCAAAAAGGATTTAGCACTTTTGTAGCAGCAGAGTTGCAGTGATGAAACGAATGAGGAATGAATGAATAAATGGAGTAAATGGGGTAGACTTCAAGGGAAGACTTGGGAAGGCAGCAGAGTGACGTCACTGTGGGTTTGGGTTGTAGTCTTGGTTACTGGCAGTTGACAGGATTCGCCCTGTTATATGCTGCGCCCCTCTCTCCCTAGCAGAACCACCCTACCAGCAGTCTCACCTTTGCCCCACTAACCGGTGCAGCCCTAACTTTAGGTTGTCACCATTGGCTACACGATCGTCCAATGGGCGCCCGCTCTCGTTCGCGCCTCTCGCGAGTGTTAAGAGTAGCTCGCGGAGGTGGTGAAACTGTGCGGGGCGGGTGCGGGGCTTCAGGCTGCTGTGAGTCAGAGGGTGCGGTCTTGTGGACGGTAGCTGACAACATGTTCCGAGCGGTAGCTCCTGTGCAGCTCCGGCGGGCGGTGAGTCCGGACGGGGAAGGCAGAGCCCGGTGATGATCCCACCCTAACCTGTCGTCTCAGGGAGAATCTTTACGAAGGTCACTATACTCACAGGCCTGACTGGCCCTCATGGAGACAGGCCAAGCTTGGCCTGGAGTTCGGGGTCAGGGCTCCAGTTTCTGGGCTCGGCCCCTGATTCCCGGGTCGCTGGTTTCGGCGACAGTCCGAGATCGCGGTCAGGGTGACCCTGGGTCATGAACTTGCACCCCTGCTGTCTCTCCTCCTCCTGCCCCGCCCTCTTCCCAGTCTCTCTTCGTACCCTTCAAGTTCTCTCTGTTCTGCCTGTTGTCTTAGGTGCTGTATGCTAGTGGGGAAGAGGGCAGTCACATTCCGGGGGAAATCTGTACCCCAGAGATTAAAATATCTTGAGGAGCTTCTGTTGACATAGTTTAAAATCAAGAAGCTGACATTCTTAGAAGAATTAAACAGGTCCACTGGGCGCTTTATGGCTGCTGTAATTTCTTCACAGTCAAATGTGGAGGAGAGAGTATGCAAACTTGCCTTGTTTTGCCTATTAGTGCTGGCTACTTCAGTGATTGTTTGTGCAAAGCCTTTGATCTAGTTGGTTGGTGTTAGCCAGTTTTGATAACATACCTTTAATTGCTGACTGACCTGCTTTTAACCTAGTTGATTGTTGGCCAAATAGCCAGGGAACTTGGTAGTAATAAGTTTTTGATGCTTTGAATAGGACAAGATTGTGAGTTTACCACATTTCTCCTCCATTCAATGAGAGCTCTCATAGAAAGTTTTATTGTTTTGTTTTGTTAATTTTTTGTCCTTAATGCTGTGAGAAAACAACATTTGGAGATCGACCAGTTGTAACAATAGTTTGTATTGTGGAATGCTGTAGATGATTTTTCTCATTTCTCGAATACATGAGGAACTGAGATTGCTAACTTGGGTCAGACACTTTACTGCTTCTAATTTTTAAAAATATTTTGTGTATTTCCCCATATATCGCAGTTCTTTTTTTCCCCTCAGAGTCATAACTGATGGTCCTTCTAGATGTCTATAGTCTCCTTTCTTGATTTTAAAAAAATTTTTTTTTATTATTTTGTGTGTGTACTATCAAATCGGATCTGACCTTGACTTATTTTTAAAATCCGAAGTCTTTTAAAGTCTTTAAGAACTAATGAGAGATTTCAGAAAGAAAAAAACTAAAATACAAAATAATAAAAAAAAGCTAATGAGAGATTTGAATGACAAGTATAGGAAAAATATGACAAGATCATTTCCAAAACAGGACATACAGATACACTTGCACATACATATTTATACTTTATATTTTTAAAAATAATTTCAAAATTACAAAAAATTATTACTACAAAGTGTCAGAACTCTTAATAGGTTTTCACTAGTTGTTAACAGAATGACTGATTTGGTTTACTTGTGCTTTTTCTTGAGCCATTAAAAAGTGTAGTGCAAAAAAAAAAACCAACAAAACTGCAATTCAGGCATGAACCTACCTTTGTCATATTTTTATTATATATTTTCCAAAACCAAGGAGCCTCATTTACCACAGTTTAATGATCAGAATCACAACAATGAGACATCTCATTTACAGTCATTTGAAAGTTTTGTCCATTGTCTCAGTATAGGTTTGTTTGACATTCCTTATGGTTAGATGGTGAAGAGATTGAGATTGTTAACAACTTTAGTCTGCTTGGCTACACGGTCAACACTCTTGGCACCAGTAGCCAGGAAATAAAAAATGTATTGCGATGGGAAAGTCTGCTGTCAGGGACCTCTCCAAGGTACTGAAGAGCAATGGTGTCACTCTGGAGACTAAGGTAGGTCTGATATAGGCCATGGTGTTTGCATTCACTTGTTATGCAGGAGTTGGACAATGACTAGGGAGGATAGAAGGAGAATTGATGCCTTTGAGCTGTGGTGCTGGAGAAGAGTATTGAATGTACCATGGACTGCCAAGAAAACAGATTCATCCTAGAGAGGGTTAAACCAGGCTGCTCCTTGGAGGCAAGGAGTCTGGGGCTTCGTCTGACATACTTTGGACATGTTGTAAGGAGGTCCTTGGAGAAGGACATCATGCTTGGGAGAGTGGAGGGACGGCGTAGAAGGGGAAGACCCTCTATGAGGTGGATTGATGCAGTGACTGGGGTAATCGGGATGGGTGTGTCAGAGGCAGTGCGATTGGCACAAGATAGAGCAGGGTTTAGGGTGGTTGTACATAGGGTCGCTATGAGTCGCAAGTGACTCGATGGCACATAACAACAATAACAACAATTTTTAGCAGGAATATGACAGACAATGCTATATTCTTTTCAATGTAAGAAGAATGCTAGTTTATTCCATCTTTGATGCTAATCATTTGACTTCACCATGGTAAAGTTAATATTCTTCCTTTGCTAAGTCAGCCACTGAAAATCCAGAGGAGCACAGTCTTGCTTAGACACACATGGGGGTACCATAGGTTGGAATTGATTGGACTCCAGAGATTATCAGAGCCTGATGGTCAACTGTCCAGCCACAAACCATAGAACTTGTAGTTTGAACCTACCAGAGGCCTTGCAGGAGAAAAGACCTGTTGATCTGCTCCTGGAAAGATTCAGCCTGGGAAACCTGAGAAGGCAGTTCTGCTCTATCCCTTAAGATAGATAAGAGTTGGAACTGACTTGGTGGCACACCACAACATGTCACTAGCTTGTATTTTGAAAACATACTTTCTGCCACTAGTCTTAACATCAGTTGATTCTTAACTAAAAAATGGTAACTTTGATGGTTCACAATAGTAACTTTCTAATTCCCATCTTTCTGTGTTGTAAAAATGGGATGGTGGTGGCATCTGATCTCTATGATCTGGCAGAGAAAACCAGCATCAGCCCAGAGCTGATTGCTGTGGGCTGAAGGTCAGACATACTTTCTTTTTTCAAACTTTTTACTGATTCTGAGACCCACCTTGAAGCCATCATACCAATTTTGACACTCTCCTTGAAACCTCATATTGCACCTCCTTCTCAGCTGGCCTCACAAACCATACCCGCTTTATGGGATTTATTAGAGAAGTTACAGATTACAGTTCAGGTTCAGGAAAGCTTGATCAGGACAGCCTCTTCTCAGCTGTGCTGGCAGGGGGGCTCTGGCCCACAACCTGTCCTTCTTGGCCTGGCCTCTAGCTCACTTATGCTAGTGTTCATAGCTTGCTAACTCTGCTTCTAGGTGCCCAGAAGCACCCTGCTCTGTCAGTAAGCCTTCTGCCTGAACTTGCTCTGCTTTCTTAATCTGTTGACCAGGAAGCCCACCATCCCATTTTCTACCAATCTCCTGGTTCTTTTGCCTTTGCTACTGCTGTTACTCTGCCACTGCTTCTAGCTGTCTTTGGTGTTAGAACTCTGTGTTATAAAAAGAGGATGTTTCAGTGCAGGGATACTGGGTCTAAAGGATGTGCTCATTCCTTCCTGGCTCTTCTTCCTTGTTTTTGATGACTTTCCCCCTTCAAACTTTGTGATGGCTCATTTTAAACCTAGCAGGAGGGTGCAAGTGACCAGTTGTCATATTGTGAGGTGCCACCCACAGGCTTGCCTCCGAATCAGTGAGCTTATGAACAGTGGATCTGACCCTCGCTTGCCCTACACTGCCTCATCCTCACCATCTCTGATATGCTCATGTTGCAGTCACTGTGTCAAACTATCTTTTTGGAGCAATTCCTTTCTTTCCCTGACCCTCCACCTTTTCTAGCATGATGTCTTTTTTCCAAGGACTAGTGGCTCTATGTTGAACCATGCAGTGTTCCCTTGTTCTGTTCTGACGACTGCCTCCTGGTCCAAGTATAAGTTTCGCATTAGAACGATCAAGTGTTCTGGGATTCCCATTCTTCTCAGAGTCAGCCATAGTTTGTTATGTTCTACACAGTCAAATGCCTTTGCATAGTCAATGAAACACAGATAGACATTCCTCTGGTATTCCCTGCTTTCAGCCAAGATGCATCTCACATCAGCTACAATATCTCTAGTACCACGACCTTTTCTAAACCCATCCTGGACTTCTGGTAGTTCTCTGTTGATGTGCTGTTCCAGTCGTTTTTGGATAATCTTCAGTAAAATCTTGCTTGCATGTGAAATCAGTGAGATTGTTCTGTAGTTTCCACATTCTGTTGGGTCACCTTTCTTTGGGATAGGAACAAATATCGATCTCTTCCAGTCAGTTGGCCAAGTGGTCGTTCTCCAGATTTCTTGGCACAACTTGGTGAGCACGTCCAGGGCAGCATCTGTTAACTGAAATATGTCAATTGGTATACCATCTATTCCTGGAGCCTTATTTTTTGCCATTTCCTTCAAAGCAGCCTGAGCAACTTCTTTCATCACCATAGGTTCTTGCCCATATGTTGTTTCATGAAATTCTTCTGTGTCTTCCAATTCCTTTCGATACAGTGACTCAGTATATTCCTTCCATCTTCTTTTAATACTTCCTGGATCATTTAACATTCTGTCGAAAGCATCCTTGATTATAGCAACTCGAGGTTTGAATTTGTTCTTCAGTTCCTTGAGCTTAAGATATGCTGAGCGAGTTTGGCCCTTTTGATTTTCTGACTCCAACTCCTTGCACATTTCATTGTAATATTTTGCTTTGTCATCCTGTGCTGCCTTTTGAAATCTTCTATTCAACTCTTTAGTATCTTGAATTCTTCCCTGTGCTTTGGCTTCTCTGCGCTCCAGTGCAATTTTCAGAGTATCTTCTGACATCCATTTTGGTCTTTTCTTCCTCTTCTGTCTTTGCAATGACCGTTTGCTCTCTTCCTGATTCAAAATTGGGAAGGCGTACGCCAGGGATGCATCCTATCTCCATACCTTTTCAACCTATATGCAGAACAGATTATCCGGGAGGCTGGGCTCTATGAGGAGAAATGTGGGGTCAAGATTGGTGGACGATTTATCAACAACCTGCGTTATGTGGATGACACAACCCTGCTTGCTGAAACTGAGGAGGACCTCATGCATTTGCTG